TTTTGTTAGCAATATTTTGCCATATTGCATAATTATTAGTTACTCTAAATGAACTGCGTTCTACAATCACTCTTTGCAAATATTTCTTCATCAAGAAACCAACAATTAGCAACAGGAATTGGTTAACATAAATAAAGTACACTCTTAGAGGGGGGAAAGACGCACCAAGAAGGAGTTATTCGAATGGGACGAAAATCAGTAGAAGTGATGTACATGTACAGAAAAACAAATAATTACAGTTTGAGAAAAATTGGATGATTTATTGAAGTGATAGAGCTTCGCAAAGTGAAAAAATCAGTAACATGTTTGTCCACCTCTGGCCCTTATGCAAGTAGTTATTCGGCTTGGCATCCATTAATAGAGGTTGCGGATGTCCTCCTGAAGGATATCGTGACAAATTCTGTCCAACTGACGTGTTAGATCGTCAACATCCTGAGCTGGTTGAAGGGCCCTGCCCATAATGCTCCAAACGTGCTCAATAGGAGAGAGATGCGGCGACCTTGCTGGCCAAGGTAATGTTTGGCAAGCAGCAGAAACATGTGCAGTGTGGGTGCGGGCATTATCTTACTGAAATGTAAACCCAGGGTGGCGTGACATGAAGGGCAACACAACGGGCCTTAGAACTTCGTCAATGTATCGCTGTGCTGTAAGGTTGTAATGGATAACAACCAAAGGGGTCCATTCATTTTATAATTGTATAAAATGAAATGGCACCCCAGACCATCACTGCTGGCTGTCGGCCTGTCTGCCAGAAGACAGTCAGGTTGGTATCACACCGCTGTCCGGGGCGTCTCCAGACTCGCCTTCACTGGTCATCGAGGCTCATTCAAAGCAGAACTCATCACTGAAGACTATTCTACTCCAGTCATATTGCATAATGATGAATACTCCAGTCATATTGCATATGAACGTCAGTGACGTTCCAGTGCGAAAGAGCCCGACACCACTGCAAACGGGCTTGACGTTGTACAGAGGGCCAATGGTAGTTGATGCAAAGGGTGCCGTGACCTCAGCCCCCTTTCTGTGAGCTGTCTATGTGAGTGGTCACTGAAGCACTAGTTGCACATACAATCGATGATAATGATGCATCTGGAGCTGTGAGTGCCGCTGTAGTGATTGCTCGGTCTTCACGTTCTGTCATTTCTCTAGGCCTACGGCTTCCTTCTTAACGCTATGTGCGGCCATGGTTCACCCATTGCTGCCAACATTGTCTAATAGTGGCATCGCTCCTGCTCAAATGTCAAGCTATTCACCGATAAGACCAACTGACTTCTTTGAGCCCAACTACATGACCTTTCTCAAATTCTGACGTCTGCGCATATTGGTCGCGCACCTGTATGCGAGGCATAGGTACTGTCTACCAGAATACATGGAATGAAATTCGTGTAGAATTTATGACCTGGAATCGTAATTTCTCCTCTTAAGTATCCTGCCAGTTGTGCAGATCTGATGCGCTGTAGTGACAACCATTCATTCATTGGCAGTCAAAATGTAAAATTTTGCATTTTCCATCGAAACCTGTATGCATATCAATTTGTGTCCAATGTCCAATTTGCATTATATCTTCTCAGTGCGTCTTTTTTTTTTTTTTTTTTTTTTTTTGGTCGAAGAGTGTATGTGTGGTACTGTAGAAGTCAAATGGAAGCTTCATTTTGAGCTACAAAACGGTATTTTTATTGGTAAAGAATTATTGGTATTTATTGGTAAAGGTATTTTTATTGCACTCTATATTACTGAGCAGAGTAGAATCTAGAGTAATAAAATGCAGGCTGTAAAAGTGAGTAACACATGAGACTGTTAAAAGTTTATTGCAAGTAGCAAAAATAGTGCATTCTTTTATTCTGTTAGCATGTTCAAAGCAACTAATCTGTACTGTTTTCTTGTTGTTTGGACTTGCACCTTTACTTAGTAAGAAAATTATATCAATTAGTTATTTATTTTAATTATCTCAATTTAAGAATGGAAGAACAAAACTTGTGTTTCAGACATATTCTATTGTATTATTTCCAAAAAAGTAGGAACACATCACAAGTATGCAAGAAATTATATCCTGGCATATATGGGAATGAAGCCTCAAAGAAAGGCTTGGTAAATTTGGTTTGGTAAATTTTGTTCTGGAGAATTTTCACTCAAAATAAGCAATCCATATCAAGATGATATATCAATCATATCATCATATCAATGAGGTAGAGCCATATCAAGCCATTATTCATTTAGATCGTCATAGCAGAACAGAAAAGATAACAGAGAACCTTAGTGCATATATGCATTTAAAAAAAATAAATAGTTTGGCAATGTTAAGAATTTTGATTTATGGGTCCCTCTTAAAGAAATTTATTTGATGCAATGTATTACCATCTGCAATTCACTTTTTAATTGCAAATTGGTCGATTTTGAATGATTGATTACTGGTTACAAAGTGGATAATGTATTAAAGAAGATAATGGGTGAAGCAGGATGAATTAGCCCAGACAACATCAAAAGCTGAGATTCATTAAAAAAAGGTCATGCTGTCAGTTTTGGTGGGATTATAAAGAAACTCTGCACTTTGAAATTTTACCAAGAAACCAAACAATTCAAACACCTGCATTCAACAACTCATTAAACTGAGTGATGCAGTTCAAGAAAATGATAAAGGTGTTGTTTTCGAACATGACAGTGCAAAGCCCTACATTTCTTTGATCACTCATCAAAATTATTGGGCTAGATTGGGATGTGTTGTCACATTCACCATATATCCCTGACCTTACACCTTCAGATTTCCATTTATTTCATTCCATTCAGAACTCCTTAAATGGTAAAATTTTTCATGATGGGTTTAATTCAGTTATTTATTTGTGAGCAAAGAACTAAATTAAATCTCTCTCTCTTTTTTCCCCACCTGACAAAAAATTAGAACCTTAAAGATGGCAAACGGTCATTGATAAAAATGGACAATACCTAATGTAATAAAGTTATATTTTCAAGTAAAAATTTTGAATTTTCCTTCTTATTTAAAATTTGCAATTATTTAGTTGCAACCCAATAGATAGCTAAAAATTAATGGTGATGAAAATAGGTGATTAAAATAGATAAATGTTGTAACTTTAGTCATCATCATTTAGTTGTGTGTTGCTCTCACACAGTATATAAATCATTGTCTTTAAAATAGGGAAAGTGTTATAGTTCTCAAGGTTAGCTTCATTTATTTACTGCAGGTACATTATTGGTAAGTGTTACCAATAATTTACTAGCAAATAAAATTAATGGTGTCATGTCCAGAATTAGCATACACTTCTAGGTATGCAGACATTAGCCAAAAGTCAATAGTAGTTCAGATTACATCTAAGCTAAATACTGGAACTAGAACCACATAAGAAAATGTGTTTAAGAATCACATTTTGTAAAGCCTAAGTTACAGAAATTGATATCAGTACGATCATTGCACATTGTGCCTTATCTTAGACATAGGGGCTGCAAATTTCAAAACTAAATCTCCCAAGAGACTATTATTATGGTCAGATAAGTCCTATTTCCTGCTTCACTGAGTGTGTTGGATGATAAGAGTGTAACATTAACAAATATTGGGTCACAAAAAATTAATTTCAGTTTGCATAAATAGATAGTGCTATGTATCATTTTGTTATTCTTTAGTCAATCTTATAATTTCTTTTTCTTTTGAGATTTAGCAGCTGACACTTTTAGGTTGCTATAGAAACAAATTACGAATATATTTGTTTAAAACTGTTAGTTTATGGTCAGTTTTAACATGGGGTGCAAAAGTAAATATTTTCAACATTATTTTTTATTATTTTTTTTTATTATTATATTTTTTTTAATTACAACATTATATTTTTTTTATTATTATTATTTTTATTTTTTGTAAATTTTGGGACCCTTTAGATCACAATTGTTCTTTATTTCATAAATTACGGTTTCATATTTTTAATTTCATAATTTCTGCATGCCATCTTACCAGATTTAAACTGATGATCTATAATCCGGAATCGCCGAAGTCCTGACGAGCTTTTGAATGTATTACAAGATATGCTTTAACACCATTGCTGAACCCAACTCTCGGATTCTCTTTCAAAAATTTCATATGTCCTTGATGGTCTTCCTCCTCGGGGTTTTTTATCAATGCTGGTTATACCCTTTTGAAATTCCTTCATCCATCTGTCCATGTCACTTTTGCCAAGGATGTCATCTAAGTACATATCCTGTCAACTTTGGGTGTCTTTTATCAGTAACTGAAAAATGGCACATTGTTTGTGCTTTATATCCATTATTTACTGTCAGTAAAGGAGAAGTTTATTATATGCTTGCATAGAAGAAGAGTCATTCTGACAAAGTATTAAGTTTAGATGATTTATGTCAGCTAATTAAAAAAAAAAAGTTAATATTATTATTTGAAAATCTAAAGAGCAGTAGTGTAATTTTAGTAATTTATTTCATTTAGGAACTTAAAATAATAAGTAAATTACTAGTAAGAACTTAAATGTCTTCAATAAAAAAAGGAAGTACTTCTGCAATATTTATCATAAACTTATCAATCCATAAAAGATAAGGGAAAATTTGATAAAATTTAAATTACGATTTTATACTGGTTGCCTTTTTCTTTTGCTTTCATTAACTGTATCGAGCCTACCAATGACCAAGCGGTAAACTAACTGAATAACGGATAATTTGACTTGTGCTTGATTCCAAGTGAATAGGCTGGCTGCATGGGTGTTTTTGTGGTTTTCCCCATGTCTAGCATGTACCCTTAGAAAGTCTTCCATGAAGGCATTCCTTCCCTTAGGAATATAGTCCTCAAGTGCTTTGTCATAGTCAAATAATCCAAACTAACCAGTAACTGTGATAAAAGTTTTAAAGAAATTTAAATTCCCTTTTAAAATGAAGGTTTTCTATCTTCATTTCATTTATTATTATTTATTTATTTATTTATTTTGCTTTGAAATAGTCTTTTTATATTTTTAACATATTTATTTTACCTGTATATTTTCTGGTATTTCTTTTAGATTTAATTCATGATTTATGGGATTTTCAAGAAGATATGAGTGAATTTGATTCAGAAGATCAAGTTGAAGATATATCTGACACTACTGCGACTGTTGGCTTAGTTGAATAACTATTTATTTGGTTTTTGTGAAACTGGCATTTAAAATGTTTGTCCAAGCTTTGAATTTTTTGTTTAATGCTGATTATTGAATATTTATATTTTTATCAATAAATATTTGATTAATATACATTTTATATAACTGCATAATAATTCATCTTAAACTAAAATAAGAGATTTAAAACTCGATAAAATTCAATTTCATATTGGTATGTATTAAAGCTAACTGTTTTAAGAGAGACTGTGAAGGGTCACTGTTCTTCAAAAATTAAAGACATTCTGCCCAAAATGTGTTTGCTCCTTGAAGAAGTGCAGAATATTTTTCCTGCTTGAAGAAGCATTATCCATTAATTATTTTTGCTCAAAATGCTTGCACACTATGCCATTAATGATTGGATGTTCCCTGAAAGGAAAGCAAAATTGTGTGCATATTACTGTTGCTTGTTATGTACTTTTAAAATGACCATGTAGACCTTGGTGGAAATGTATTCTAATTAAAGCTATCAAAATGGGTAAACAATAAGAGCTGAGCTGGGCTGAAAAGAATATAATTAGTATCTGTTGATTTGATTATTCTGTCCATAAGATTTCTGGCAAGTTTCAGGTACTATGTGCAATAGTAGGTGATTTAAAGATGAAATAGAAACATGAAGGAGTTATAAAGCTTAAACCTCACCAGGGAAGCCAAAAAAAGTGACTCCATGCTAACTTCAGTATGCATGGAGTGATATTAGCTGTTGATACCTCCTGAAATACATAACTGATGAATACTATAACAATGAATGAGCACCGTATTATATGTTAGGGCATTCCAATGAATGTTTATGGACATGGGAAATCCCTAATGAATGTCTTATTGGAATTCATAATTTTCTCTATGAAATGTAAAATCTGATGGAGGGAGAAGTATGAAATGAGCTTACTTTTCTTGATTTTAGTTCCTTTGTTTTTTGTACTTTAAACCCTGAATTCTGAAGCTTCTAATTACCTTGTTGTATTCCAATATAATCTCTATCATACGAGTTTAAATTTTGTAAATTTTTTCTGTTTAAATGATTAATAAGAATAACTTCTATAATTAGTAGAGTTAGAAACTAATATTTAAATTGAATCCATTCATGAATTACCGTGATTTTATCATTGTTATTGTAAGAAGTAGAGTTATTTGCTAATGTAATTTTGTCCTGTCCTCGCCTTTCCATAATTTTATGTTTCTAGATATATCGCAGTAACTCTGAGGGCATAACTGGGAGAATATTATTTGCATTCGATCATAAAGAATTGTATAACAGTTGTAATGATGAGTTTTTCTGTTTGAGGTTGGGAAATGTTGTTGATGCTGAACCGAGAAGTATAGCATCAGCAAATGACTCAGCTTTGTTAATTCCAGTCTATGCAATTCCATTAAAACTTTTAAAAGATGGAATATTTGTTTAGCATTTTGTGCTTAATAATAGCATTCCAGATAAAATTATCTCCCTGGGAAGTGACTCTAAGTATCTAATTCTGTCAAATTGTTCTTGATTTTTAATAAGGGTCTTGACCTCAGATTTAGGTTATTCATCAGTCTTTCATTGTCCACAGAAGAGTTCTTTGTAATACTTTCCTGGTATGATTCTTTCAATCAAATCATAAGTAGCAGAATATTTAATGCATGTAGCTGCTGAAGCTTCCTTATTATTGTATAATGCAAACTGCAGATCCTTTGGTGTATTGTGGGGAAAGTGTACTGAGTGTGGCTGAGAGCTTTTGCATAGCCAGCCCAGCTAGTAACTGACAATGGATTCCATGGTAACTGGGTTATTGTCACACTTCTGCTATTGATATAAAGTGGAGTGTTGAGTACTCTTAGCAGGAGGAATTCCAAAGAGCTGACAGCCAGAATTATAATGTGTTAGGTTATCTGGGGCTGCAATAAGAAGGTTGCTTTTTAAGCTAAATCTTAAATTTTGTTGCCATATAATTAAGAATTATTACAGTTCCAAGCTCTGTCATGTGCATCAAAATATCCATATAATGATGATGATTGTTTGTGTTGTCTAGTTTGTGCATATAAATAAGCATGTCTTATGGTTTGGAATGTATTGGAGATAACAGTGACTATGTATGAAATGGGGGGATGAAGTTGATTGCTAAGGCTTCGTTGGTTAAGATCTGTAGCCTTGTATTGAGGTAGTGAGGAATGGAGTCCTTAATTAAAAGCAAGAATCCACCTCGTGTATTTCCTTCAGGGGCATATGTCATTAGTTGATGGATCCAGATGTGTATTGACTGGCATGTAAAGATTTATGTAGACCACTCATGTGTTCTTGTTGGAGAATAATATCGGGAATTCATGTGTGAATCTTTTGTGGAACAGACTAGCTACATTCCATATAACAGTTGAAAGGATTTCTTAGGTTATTCAATGAAATTGTTATAGATTTCATTATTTCCAAGAATGTATACTTATTTATGTAAAGGACTGCCACAACTTTTAAGTTTAGGCATATATTTTTTAGTATATTATTCGTAGTAGGAAGCTTATTTTTACCAAATATTTCAGTAATTTCAGACATAATTTAAGAATGCAAGGAATTTCGAGATTTATACTTCATTTCTGTAACTTCGGTTTTTCAATACTGTGGTATGGCTTTCTTTTCTTCATTCAATGGAGGGAATGTAAAGTGAAGGCCTCACATTTTTCACTTTAAATTCCGTGTCGACTGATAGAACTAGATCAAGTAGAATGTAAGCAAAAACAACCAGAAATCTGCTTGTGACAACATACCATAACATTTCATGGCTTAATTTTTACATATAATCAAGGCTTAATCCATTAATTGTAACCTCCTTGGAAAATTTATGGTATGTATTGAAAATTTCTAATTGTTTCTTTGAAGATTTCATAGATCAAATTTTCTTGTTTGTTACTGTTCTAAATACAGTATGACTGTAAGCCTGAAACCTTCCATATAATTTATATTAAATATAGTTCATCTCAACAAACCTCTAAATTGGCAGGTTTGCCTGACATAATACTTTCAATGATTAACTTTATAAGTAATTATAAATTTTCTTCCCATATATTCAATATGTGGGTAACATGTATGTCAGTTTATTTTTGCTCTGTTATCTTCTAAATTACAGTCTCCAAACTTTTCAAAACACTGAACACCTAAAGTTTTATATCTTGTATATGTCAGGATAGAATGAGAAAAATAGCTGAAAGAAATGAAAAAGGAACAGCCAAACATGCTGCACATATTAAACCCACAAAATAAATGATGAAATTATTCATCCCTCTGCTAATAATATGCTCAGATTTTGTTTTATCATTTGTTTGTGCCTTTACTTATGACTTGAAACATTCCATTCATAAACTTTTAGAGAACAGAATATCTAATATAATCTGAAAATAAACGTCATATTAGTGAACAAATCTATTACCTTAAACAAAGCAAATTTTTTTTTTTCTTTTCCAAAGCATATTTATAGAAAATAATTAATCACAAAAGAAATAATCACCTTTTAATTCAATTCTAGACAGTAGCATTAAAAAATGCAATTTATGAATGTCAGATAGGCAATGGTAAAAACATTTTCAGCAATGGAACCATTCGGTAATTGTTGAGTTACGTAATTTTTTTCTAAATTTTTAGTGACAAAATATTCTTGTAAAGAAGGAGAGAAGGCGGCCAGTGCTATTTTAATTATTATTTAAATTATGGAGAATTTTGTTTTTTAGGTTTAAAAGTACATAAATTGTATAACAATGCAGTAGAACCTCGTATCACGAACCCATGTGTTTGAGCGCTGGTTACTTAATTGTGCAGCTACGTGCTTTAAGCTTTGCTTATACTGAGTTTATTCAATATCAGCTGGATGGCTTTTTCGATAAAAGCCCCCAATTATGATAGTTATGAAAGATTTCGCCACATATAATATAAAGTATTTCGCCTGCCTTCGTGGTGTGAGGGTCTGTAAGCTGGGCGCATATTTCAGAGGTTCGTGGTTCGATTCCCGGCGAAGGTGTTGCTCATCTTTAACGTCTCCTGCTTTCAAAATACCTGATGTCTTTACAATGGAAAGGATATCAAGAGGGTACTGTCTGACTATCTCCTGAACTCCTGATACAACGGATGAATGATGAGAGACTACTCTACCACTCAAGTAGGTTAGAATAGAAAAAGGGAAGGTTCTACTCAAACCATGAATCCTTGGCGACATGTTACTGCAACTGCTGTGCCTGGTCATTGCAACTTTTTTTTTCCTTCTTTTTTTTTTTTTTTTTTTTTTTTTTTTTTAAATTTTTGAAGCATGGGATCTTGTGTTGCATATGAGTGCACAAACGGATTTTCTAAAAAAGATTCCTGGATTATTTTTCACGCCTAAATACTGATTTTTTTTTATGTAATTTGATAAATATGTTGAAAAATATCACAATGCCATGTCATTTTCTTTCCAGAAGTCAAAAACAAAGACAATCAAAATATTGTTACGTGCGTACTTGTTTGTAATGGGTTGAATGCACAAGTCAATAAAAAGTTAATAAAATTTATTCTTATTCCAAGAAATAAACCAAAATGGTGAAATTTACTCAGAGATATTTTTACAATATCTCACAGTAGTTATAAACTACTAAAACGTTAAATCGAACACAAATCAAAGCAGAGAAAGCTAATCCGATCTCACCGTAAATTCGCTACAATCAACAACAAGAACTAAGTAAACAACAGAACTAAGATGTTTCTGTCCGGCTGTTTAAAGCTTTTTAATCATGCACGAGAAGATTCTGGTAATTTTTATTTTCTCGAGGTTTCTGGAAAGCAAAAGAGTACAATTACGAGATAATCTTTTTATTAAATGTTAAATGTGCGTGCTCCTGTATTCTTCCTTTTTCGTAGCTTTCTCTTAAAACTCGTCGCGTGCAACATTGCACGGGGAAATGAAGCAATGTAATTACAATTCTACTCAAAAAGAAAAAAAGAACACTAAATACAAAAACCATAACATTGCCCCTTTCTCAAGAACTGCACGTCCTTGAAACGGAAGCCAAACTTACAACTAAGGCATCAGTGCAACAATAAACATTACATTACAATAACTGCAGTAAGTAATTTAAAATAAATCAAATACTAAATACAAGTCAAATCAA